CGTTAATCGAGCTTGGGCTGTAGAAAGCTGTCTTTCTAAATGTATAGATAATTCTCTAAATCGATCTTGTTCTTCCTGTAATCGGCGTCTTAACGCAGCACATTCCCTTGTAGCATCATCCAAGCGTTGCTCAGCGCGCAATTGCCCCTCAGCCTGAACACGCTCCAAACTTGCTTTAATGGATTCTACATCTGCCCGTAATAAAGCTTGTGTTTGACGTTCTCTTTGATACACTTCACGCTCTTTCAAAAGACGTCCTTCAGAGTCACGTAAAAGTTGTCTTTCTTGACGCATGTTTTCTAATTGTACTTCAGCACGGGATAATCGCGTTTGAGCCGTCAACGCTTCATCTTTCAAAATCATTAAGCTCTGTTCATGTTTTCCTGTAAAATAATTTGTCATTAATAAAATTTCATAATAGCTGTTTAGCATAATATCTATAAACATAGAAAATATTTCATACCAATTGTCACATTGTAGTTAGAACATTTTTCTTCAAGAACTTTTATTTGAGACTTATAAGAAGCAACATTTGACTGTAAAAGATTAAATCTGTCATTAGCTGAATCTAACTGTGCTTTTAATCTGCAACATCGAGCTGAATTAGCTTCTGCTTCTTTTCTAAGTCTTTCTACTTCCTCTCCTAACATTCGTTCATGAGCAGCTCTTTCTTTTTTGTATGTATCATATTCATCTGTAACCTGTTTTAATTTAGCTTCACTTTCTATTAGTTGTCTTTGCAATTCTTTTTCTCTATTAATATCTTCTTGAGTAATTGTAGACACTTCATCTGTAATAGATTTTACTCCATCAACATCCTTTCCTTCTTCTTCTTGAGTAACAGTAAGTTCTTTCTTTTCTACTACATTTGTTTGCTTTAAACATTGCTGATACATATTTTTATACATGTCCCGCTGTCGGAGGAGACCTTCTAGCATTTTTGCTTGTCTATCTTGGGCAGCTTGCATATCTTCTAATTGTTCTAAGTACCTATTACAGTAGCAAAAAATTGAAATTAATAAGAATAAAATGTACATTATTGCATTTTTAATACAATTACAAACCTGTCTAATTTCTCTTTCATTTCTCCGGAATTTATTTCATCAGTTGCTCTTTCAATCTCTTCTTGCCGTGATGATAATGTACGAACTATTGATAATAACTTTTGATTATTTTCTTGTAACTCTTCAATATCTTTGAAAGTTACAAGCTTTTTACTAATAATTTCAGATGAAGCAAGATTATCCATATCAATTGAGTTCGAAAATTCACTTGTGTGAACAGTTGCACCACTTCTACTCTCTTGGACTTCTTTCAAAAGGAAGCACACCTAAAAGTAGTAAGTACATAAAATTATGTACTAACTACATATGTACAATTTCAATTACTTACCTGTCTAGCTAAGTCTGATAATTCTGTTTTTAATCTTTGATTTTCTTTAGTATGATGCTTAGTAATACGATTTGCTTCATCAGCTGTTTCTTGTAATCTATGATTTTCTGCTAGAAGTTCATCCAATCTTGATGTTAGCGTACCAATATTAGCCATTGCAGTTTCGTAATCTTCACGTTGTTGTTGCAAAACAGGAGCTTTCTCTTCCAATTCACGTAAAATAACATCCATTTGTGATTTTAAACGTTCATTCTCTTCTCGTTCTGAAGTTAACTCATTTGTGACATCAACTAATTGTGTATAAATTTGAGTAAGACTCAACCCTTTCCTAAGCACTCGACTAGCTATAGCTGCTGTAGGTGCAAGCTGTTCAACAGCTTGATCTAATCTTTCTGTAAAAAAATGATATAATTACTTAAACAGATAAAATCATATGAAAGTAATAATGTCAGAGTGAATAACCTTGTTTAATATTTTTCAATAATTCATTTGCATGATTTAATTCTTTTGAAAGTTCATCTATCTTTTGCTCTTTTTCTTCCAATTCTTGTTTATGCTGTAACTCCAATTGATTATGTGTTGTTTCTAGAGTTCCATACTGTTCAGTAGCATGTTCTAGTAATTCTTGAAGTTCTTTAACTGCATTACTGAATTCTTCAGCTTTTGCATTTGCTTCATCAGCCATGCCTTTATAAAGATCTGCTAGTCTAGTCTGTGCACCAATTTCTTCTCGATATGAAGTATGCATCGAAATTTCATGTGTACGTTGTTCTTCTAATTTCTGAGCAAGTTCATCACAGCGTCGTTGAAGAGATGTATATCTTTCTCGTAATTGTGCAGTTGCTTCATTAGCAATACGTAATTCTTCATTACGTTGTGCCAAACGGGTATCTGTTAAAAGTGCTCGAGCAGAAGCTTCTGATCTTGTTGATTGTAATTCTGACATTCTTTTTGCTAATTCTTCTTCAAGACCAGCCATTTGCTGTGACAAAAGGGTTCTTTCTTGTTCCAACCGTTTTTCTCTGAAAAATATTATTAATAGTAACACATTAAAATTTTATTAAGTAAGAATCAATAATGAAAGAATTCATACACACTTGAATTCAAGAGTCATATCACGACTTCGAATTTCTTCTGTTTCTGCTAGAGCTTGACATTTTGCAGCAACAGCATTTTGTAATTGAGTACCTAAAGAAGAGAGTTCAGTGTGCATTCTTTCAATTTCAGTATCGCGTCGATCAACCTGTAACTGTAATGCATCCCTTTCATCCACAACTGAATCTCTATGTCTACGCAAGTCAGCATTTTCTTTTTCCAATCTATAATTAAATACATAATTTATTCATATAGTTGTTACATATTTTAGTGTAGCACACATAAAAATATATATTTTTAGATAACACCTTTTAACAGTCTCTTGTAGCTTTTGTATTTCACCTTTAGCCTGACCTAAACTAGTTTGTAGCTCATTAGTGTATTGCTCTGCCAAATCAAGTTTTCCTTTGCATTCTTCAAAATTTGATTTTTCTTCTGCTAAATCCTTTTGTAATTTATCTACAGTTTGGTCTAACAAAATTAAAAAGTAAATATCTTTTCATTGATAACCTAATTTTATTAATAACATGAACATAAGACTTTATAATATATATAAACATCTAATAAAATTAACTATCAAGTTCTATTTCAAAATACTACTTATATATTTAACAAAATTTGTATATAAACTATTTAATAAGTGCGGCACATTCCTGTAGAGAGGTTAACTTTTTTGTATAAATAATCTGGGCGACCGTTATTGTGACAAAAAATATAAAATTCCATTTAAGCTTACCAAAATTTTTTCTATTAGTTTCAAAAACTGCTTTTGCCGTAATATACTGTTCAAATTTTTCGTTAAAATAAGCATTAAGTTTTTTTGCAAGTTCTTCAGAAACTTGCGTTAATTCTTCTTCACTTAAAACATCCCGTAAAACATTATGTTCGTTCTCTTCTGCCTTTTCCATCTTTTGGTTTGATCTTGCTTATAAATTAAGCAAATTTTTCTTCAATAATGAATTAGTACTTCCTTAATAATTAGACTCGATCGAAGACACATTTGATCAAACATTCAATGTATTTTTTCTCCCTCTCTGTTAATCACTATGGCTTTTATCGAACTGACGCGGATCACTACTAACTCTACCGTTGTGATTTACGACTCTAAAGTTGCACTTAGCGCTAGTGTGCCATGTTATAATTAAATTGTACCGGCAGTTAAATAATTGAAATATTTATTACTTTCTACATAATTTATAAATATAAATAATTTGCACAATTATATCATGTAAACATTTTTTATTAAAAACTATTTTCATTTATTTTCTGTAATAACAAAATTGTTATAATTTTCAAAATATATTTTTTTATTATATGCTTCCTAATTGTAGGTATGTATATACTCATTTATGTACAGTACACATTACACTTGGAACTTTACAGCTCACACATTTATCAGATTATCATGTAAGAATAGAAAACCTTCACTACCCTATTGAAAGAACGATACTGCTTTAAGTTCACATGAGTGAATCGCCGTGTACAATTCTCTATTGGTGCATATAAAATATCATACA